GTATTCCTCTGTTGCTGATTTTCCGTTGCAATGCTTTTTTACGGCTGGCTCGCAGGGCCTGACACCAACCCCCTAACTTTCCGGAGGACCAGGGTGCACAGTTGTGCTTAGAGTCCTTCACTGGCACTGGCACTCGGACATAGATCAGCCGCGCCTAACATGGGGAACAGACGCTGTTGTGAGCCGCTCCTCCTGGAGAACAGACGCTCAGGTTTGCCCCCCTTCCCTGTCAGCCTATGACCAAAGTTCCCACCGGGGTTGGTTACCCGATCTTCCCTAAGGTTGCTCACAGTTCCCGGCCGGTACCACGGGGAGGTAGGGATAGGAGTTGCTGGGAAGAGGCTAGTGATCTCAATGGGATCTGTATTGCGCATTACCCAGCATTAACCAACCTGTGGTACATACGGAAAGGTAAATAAATGTGGAAGCCATCAGTAACAATCACATTCCGTTTGGTGCTAAACTGCGCTAGATTAAGAAAGACCTTGCGGGTTGTGCTTAATAGGCCGGAAATGGGGTAGTTAACCCTACTACCAACTATATTCGCGCTGCTTCCCGCTACTATCACCCGACAGATCCTATCATATGATTTGCACAGGCAGAGGCTCAGTTTGCCCTCGCGAATGTTGTTAGAGACAATACGAAATGTTATCACATTGTGGCCAAAATCGACGTAATGGATTTAGTGACGAATCCGCCGGCGGAAAACAAGTACAGTGCGGTAAAGAATCGTTCAATCTCGCGTTTTCAAGTGTCTGCAGAAGTGAGATTGGAACGTTTGCTGAGTTCCTGCGTCTTGGGTGATGTGCGGCCAACACATATACTCGCGCAATGCAAGAGTTGGCAGCAGGATTAAATGTAGCCGATGAGCTATTGAAAATGTTGTTTCTTCAGAGAATGCCACCAAACGTTAAAGCCATTCTCACCATTAGTGACGGAACTATCTGTAAGTTGACGGAAATGGCCGACAAAATGTTGGAATCTTAGTTGTCCCACGTCGCAGATGTATCGATGTCCGCTGGAAACAACGATATGGAAGAATTTCGCGGTAAAATTGTGGGGAAGGTGTTGCCTCTTAGAATCTGCAATAACCTAGCGGCTGTTGAACGGAGCGCTTCTAGTGTATTGGCGAAGATTAGTACATCGTCTATGTAAACTATCAAACGGGTGAGTCGGAACGTTGTCAAGTCACGTAATTCCTTCACGAGTTCGAGGTGATAGAAGGCATTACTTAGATCTAGTTTTGCGAAAAAATCTAAAAAAATGTAGCTTTACCTTCATTTCGTCCAACAAAGGAAGGCGGTAATATCAACAATCAATACGAAACTAACGATTGAAAATTGGCTCACTACTTGACTAGCCTATTGGTCCAAGCAAATCGATTAACGTACCCCATTCTAGTCAAAATTCTTGTACTACAATATGTTTGTTTTGATTCGCTATGAAAATTTGACAGATAAAATGAGGGGTTCGTGGATTTTCCTATGTTTCGAGGGGTGAATCGATTAGCTTGGGACCGAAAAGAGTACCAGAGCTGAGCCAAAAAGTTGAGCACGTTTCTTCGGGACCTTCTAGTCTTAGAGTTACCTCTATGGTAGCACTGCCGTCACGGAATAATCAGCATCAGTAAGGTTGGTCATGCACCAGTATTTTTCTTCCACCACAGGCCCGGCACAGGTTTTTCCGTAATATTCAAGTCATAGGTTTAGGCGACACTTCGGCTTACTTTGTTAAAAAAAAACTGGCGAGTCAACAGACAAAAAAAATCGATGAACGTCGATGAAATTTTGAAGTATATTGAGTTACTCGCGAGCTACTCGCTGCAAAAAAGCAACTCAGAGTAAACCTGTCTCACCCCTAGAGTTGTCCACTGTCTCAAACCAACTCTGAATATCATTTTCGGTGACTCGCCCACTTGCGGTTGACACTTGTTCCGGTGTTCGGAGAGAAAATCCTGGACCACGTCGCAAAAAAAACCTTGAACCATTTTCGTCCTACAACAATTGAATTGTCTTATTTTGGTATTCACTGGTATAATTTCTAATAAAAAGATAAAAATATACCTTGTGGATTATTCTCGAATGGGTTCTCCCGCGAATTCGATGACATAAACTCTGCTATTTTGAAGATCAGCGCTTCACATGTAACAGGAAATCCGCGGTCCTGCATCCCATAAATCCAGGTGACAACTTTATTTGCTTCCTCTGTTGATAGCACCGAGTGTGGTCCAGGCTTGAATTTTGGTTGCCATTGGCCACTTAGTCTGCATCGAATGGTGTAGATGGGTATCCCGAACTCTTTGCATCCGGCATAAACTGATTTTCCAGCTTTTATGCTTCGGATACATGATGTTATAACCTCTTCGGAGTATTGTTTACATGCTGATCTTTTCGCCATTCTACATATGAAGTACAATTGCCTATTATTATGCTTATTAGTGTGTAAAATCAATGTTTATTCATACCTGAGATGAGAAATCCTGTGCAAAAAGTAGAAATCACTGAGAAATCAACTAAACACTTGCTTTTCCAAGAAAAACGCTCATGTAAACATGAAGCTATGGCTAAAAGTGACAGATCGCAGTAGGTACTTTCGCTTGTAGCGATAATGGGTAGGGGAAACGCTCCTATAGTTGCGGTACGTTAGAAGCGTTAGGTTCCTATAGTTGTGTATGGAGTCTCCATACACAACTATAGGAACCTAACGCTTCTAACGTACCGCAACTATAGGAGCGTTTACCCTACACCGAATGAAAAATTTACCTACTAGGGTTTTTGATCTAATTTCCGTCCTACTAAGCACACCCCGCGCTTTACCTCTCTCTTCTGAACGAGGTTTAAACAAAAAATGGAATATTTCTGTCAAAAATGACTTTTAAATTTATTCACCTTTCACCGTTGGATTTGATAAAGAGTCACCAATTGTTGAGATATTGATTAAAATCTAACACTGCTTTTTGATTCTAAATTCGTTCTACGAGTTTCAATTCCGTCCTCAATGCGTTAGATTTTCTTCGTTCTACGGATAAACGTAGAAAAAGGGGATTCGATGGGAGCGCTTCTTTTGTTTTGAGAACAATGAGCGTAAATATTCATACAATGCGCTCTAACAGGATTTATGTTGTAGCTAATGAACTAACGCATTGGAACAAACCTATTATTGATTTTTACACGGTGAAATAATTGATATTATTGATCTTTTCTGATCGATAGACCGGAAAAGGGCAATTTCGACGAAGTAGCGCTCTACCCTATGGTGATACTCGAAAATTATAATTTTTCGACATAGGGGAAATGTAGGTAATGTCTGCCTACATGTCCTTAATTTGGACCCATCGCAAACATCTGCTATTTATCAATTTTATCTAGATGAACGCGTTGTTGGGACGTTACTAATGGATATTTTTGGTTGCTATTGAAAATTTAGTCGATTGCTGAATTTATGTATGGGCCCAAATTAGGGACACTTAGGCCGACATTACCTGCATTTCCCCTATTTCAAATGTTTCAGTTACTAACATGAACAACGAGCATGCGCATGAAAAGTCAAAGCTAGCCTTTTATTGTTTTAGAAAAAAAAAAATCAATATTTCATTTGCTTGTTTCGTAGTTATCGGATAACAAAAATTACTTTTGCAAGCATGCATGTGTTCAAACTCGTTTGTATCGGATTGTAATGTCCTGAACATATATTTTTATATAATTAAAGTTTATAGGCTTGTCTGAAAGTACACTGAAAAGCATTAGTCGACTGATCATGTGAAGTTTTTTTTTTCAGATAATTTATAAAATGATTTCACTATAGCCATTATTGGTACTAGAGCTATAACTGGTTCAGTTACCCTAGACAAATTTATTTTTTTTCAGTGATCACCCGGCTATAAAATTTTAATTTGGAAGTTTTATAATCAAATTGAGCCTCAATTCTCATGAGCTGTTTTTAACGTTTTATTTCAGAACCCACCAGGCTTTCCCATTTCTGATTGAAATATTTATAAGTGAAATTAAATCTTAATCTAAATGCGAAGATCCTTAAGTATTTGAGGTTATTCTGTTAGCATTTCAGCATACTATAAACAGGGACTTTTATGTATGAGGGTATTTTCGAAATAAACTAGACTAATTTGATTAATTTTTGATATCACCTGGCATTAATGTAAATAATTATTATAATGGTTGACCTTTTTATTATTATATTGGCAACAGTGTCAGCACTCTCTCATATGTTGTGATTTGCTGAGAGAGGCAACACGTGGACATCAGACCTTAAGGGTTGATCAAGTCATTATTCACGTGACATTTCACGATAAATTTACATAGAACACGGTCCGCCCGCCCCTGGAATGCATTCGTGGAACAGCTCCCCATTGGAATTTTCATTCAAGCCTCATTTCTATTGGCAACTTTTCACATCTCCTTTGTCCTGTCGTGCTGATTTGTGCGTCTGGAAAGTTCTGACTCGTTATCAGCTCCCTCCATTGTCTGTTTAGTGAACGCGCACTCCCTGTTCAAACCAGCAGCATGACACTATCATCGCCAACTGTCGTCAAACTGAATGTCGTTGCCATGGAAAAAAAAACCACACGTACCTCTTCACAGCAATATACAACTATCGAATTTTGCAAACATTTTCTACCCAAAGCGACCATCAAACTAATTCAATAACACTTAAAACAAAACCGGTGTTCTTTTCGCGCCTTAATTTGAGTTAATTGCACAGTGGTTTTCTGTTTTCGTTTCACCTAATAGTTCCGGTTAATCGAATCTTGATTCGGCTTGACGGATTTCGGTCTTTGACTTCTCATCTCCTCCCCTTTTCTGGCCCCGTTGGTTCAGTTTGTTCTTTCGTTTGGTTTCGGTATTGTTGTTACTTTTTTTTTTTCCTTTGCTTTGTTTTGATTTGTGTCTGTTTGTGTGTTCAGCCAAATTCGAGCTCCCTCTGAGATTGATCGATTAACTTTATGAAATTTGTTCCGTGTGAAAATTTGCTCGCGCGTGCAGGAACCGACACCGGACCCAGAAGTTGCCCTCTCACCACGATGCAAGCGCAAGACCACGCAGGATCCGGCTCATGGCAGTTTCTTCCTTCGGGTTGGAGCTATTGGTGAGTTGGATGTTTTTTTTTAATGAAATTTGCGTGAAGTTGAATTGATGGGATTTTCCGCTGGAACAGCTTTCGGGTTGGGAACCATGATCTACACCGGGCTGGAGTTTGGTTCGTTCTTCGAGATTCCGTTCAATTCACCGTGCCATCAGATTTTGCGAGGAGTCAATCCGCTGCTGCAGATGATCTTCACCTTCATGCAGATGTACTTTATCTTTATGAATGCTCGGGTAAGTTTCCAGGTTGGAAGATTCGTTTGGGTCGCTACATTGGGAAATTTTCACTCACAGCTCAACATCCACCGCTTCAAAGTGCTGGCCCGCTTCGGTTTGATGCACATCGTGGCTACCAATGTGTGCGTGTGGATTCGAACCCTGGTGCTGGAGTCCCTGAAGGAAATCACTGCCTACCATCAACGTCGAGGTCTGGATCCGGAGGACAACGTCATCCTGGAGAACATTCGTCAGCATACGCTCATGAACGCCGGAATGGTCATGGGAACCGAGTTGGGACCTCGTGAAGACACCGAGTGGGAACCAATTAGTGTCAATCTGAATGCCCAGGAGGATCTTTCTCAGGAAAGCAGCGTCCTTTCCAAGATGATTCAGAATACTGCCAAGACCCTAGTGGAGGCAACGACCACGGCTCGTGCAACGACCACCACTTCGACGACGACCACAACTACAGCCGCCACGACTAGTACGGAAGCGTTCACTTCCACCATATCGACCACCGCAGCAAACCTGTTCGAGCGACTCCGTGACATCGTAGTCACGGAGAGTTCAACCAGTTCATCAACGGCCGAAACGGCAGATTTTGATTCGTTCTCCACAACGGCATCGACTACGACGACGACAACCACCACCGAAGGACCTGCCTTCCTGGACCACTTTGCCGATCACGTTGACTATCTGCAGCGGAACAACAGCCTGGAACAGTCGTACGAACCGCTGGAATCGCTATTCCCGCAGGCCTTCATGGCCGCATCGACGGCCGTTTCCTCGAACTGTACGACCATCAGCTGCGGTCGGGTCAACATCATGGGAACGATCGTACAGGACTCGGCTCCGTATCTCTATCCTTTCATCATCGAGTACTCGCTGATCGGTGCTGCCGTAATCTACGTCATGTGGAAGCACATTGGACGATACCCGAAGTGAGTTGTTGTATCGGAATTTTGTTTGACGTCGATAGCTAATTTTTGATATTTACAGGTTCACCAGCGAAGAGGATCTGGAGCACCGATTGGAGGTTATGTTGTCGCGTCGTGCCGTGGTGATGGCCCAGCAGGCTCGTACCGGACGCGTTGATTGCGTTGGCGCTTCGAAGGGACTGTTCTTTGGATTGTTGCTGCTAGTTGGATCGTTGATTTGCCTGATTCTGTTCTTCGTGTTGGTCAGACATCCACAGCTTTCGATGCTTGCCATCTACCTGGCCGATGCTTCGCACTGCATCCTGATGGTGCTGGCCATCTTTGCCATCATCATTGGATTCATTCGGTAAGTATTGTAAATCAATTATCAGAGATGAGGCTGACTATGCTCTCCACTCCATAGCGTCCAGAATCTGAAGTTCCGCTGCGAGGAGCAGAGCAACCTCAACGACATCCTGCTGCGCATCTCCGCCTTCGGTTTGTTCATCTACGCCACCTTCAGCGTCATTGCCGGATCGCTGAATGCCCTCGAGAGCGAACCGCATCTGTTGGTCATGGTTACCGGAATCGTTGCCGTCGTCCAGGTCGTCATCCAGTTGCTCTTCATCGCGGACGTTTCCCGCCGCCGGGTCCACCTACCGGAGCACGATCGCGTTAAACCGGGCCGCCAGATTGTCACCTTCCTGTTGATCTGTAACGTTTCCATGTTTGCCATCTACACGTTCGAGGCGCAGAAGGTCTTTGCCAATCCGGTGAGTAGTTTTGCCCGAGATGTTTAAGGATGTCTGAAAAATGCCATTCTTCCCCCCCTACAGGTTCAACTGGACTTTTACGGCTTCATTGCCTGGTCGTTGATTCAGCGCGTCACTCTGCCGCTGTGCATCTTCCATCGGTTCCATAGCGCCGTCACGCTAGCCGAAGTCTGGAAGACAACCTACAAAGCACGTCTGGAGTAAGAGGGAGAAGAAGAAGAAGAAGCAACAACAGCACAGTAGGCGATGCGAATACGCACACACACGCAGACACTCACACACAGCATCTCCATAGCAACGCAGGCGGCTGATTGCCGTCGTAGGAGCGAAGCAACCCGAGGAGCACTCACCGAATGCAAACGAGAGTCAACAATAACAGAAATAGTGCGCGAACGTCATCCGATCGCATTTAATGGGCGTAGGAAGAAGTAGGTTGGGAATATCAAGAAGTGAGTGCCACTTTTGTGTTTTTCTACTGTAAAGTTTTGTGAAAATGAAGGTTTATCGGTGTTTTGTTCTGTCAAAACGATTCATAGTGGTTTGTTTACTTTTGAGTTGAATCATTTAACGTTGCGTAAAGTAGTGCGAGTATGTTTGTATCGAGAGATTACTGTACTTAAGTTAGCTATTTATTTATCCATTACCATGTTAACAACAACAGGATGTCAGTGTTTTGATGAGTTTTTTTTTAAATACTTGAAACTAGTAGAGGAAATGAGATCCCTTCAGCTGCTCGCAAGAGGAAACAGATCTAATTATAAGCCATATTTTCATCACGTTGTAATAGTGTATCGTAAACATACCAATTAAAAGAAGAAAAAAAAACAAAATCCAGTAAAATCCCTTTAGAAAGAATCGTATATTGGTAGTTATAAAATTTGAAAATTTTACTCAGAACATAAAATGCATACAACAACACATTTTCAACTCATTAAAAAGAAAAACAAACTAAGAATTATTAAAAAATGCGAAAAACAAAACCAACCGTAAAAAAAAAAGAAAACTTAGCAGTTCAGACTCCCGCTTCGGGGCCGTTCCCTGGAACGAACCGGGTGGGATCTTGTTCAAATCTATGTGTAGTTGTTAGATTAGTAACATGTCACATATTTATGCCGGAAACTGAACACTCACACTCACACTAACACAAAAAAAAAAACAAACAAACACAAGTAAAAGAAGAACATTTTTTCCTCCAAATATTTGAGCGGAACTCGCGTTCCGGAAGAAGAACTCGAAACAAAATGGCAACGACGAAGCGCAGTGTAGGAAATCCTTTTTTTAAACAAACAGTGAGGAAAAGTAAGAAAAATTTGCCCACCATATTTACAAGAATATTAAAATAAAAAAAAATCGTAACCAGAATCAACTTGTGACACTAGATTGTTGACATTGTAAACCTACAGAATCGGAACTGTCACTTTTTTCCGTTTGCTAATTTGTAAATATTATCCTCCGTTTCGATCCACATCGCACTGCAATTGTGTTTCGTTTTCGTACTTCTAAGTAATCGTAAATGCATGTTTTTGACAGCGCTCCAAACCCATCTGACGGCGAAACGTCACTCGCGGTTTTTGACACATTTGTTCCATCCTATATAACACATACTAACACGTGTACTTATCGAGGACCAGTCTAGTTTTTGGGGATACTTTTTTTCTTTATTGGAAAAACTCGTTGATTTATCGAAGCTAGTCTTAGTGAACCGAAGGAAATTTTGTATTTGAGGAAACTAAAACAAAACGACTTTTTAAGAAAACCTAACTTTTAGAACTGAAATCGAACGGCCAAATTGAATCTGTCGAAAGCAGGAGGCGGCGAGGGGTGTAACTTAAGAGAAAAACCTTAACGAAAATCATTCCATCAGCTCAAAACAAGTAGAAAATCGAAGGACACAACTCAAAATTCAATGTTTGTAGAACGTCTGCATCCATTTTCCCATGCTCAGTAATGATGAAGGTAAAACAATTAGAAAATAGTGACAGTAGTCCACACAAGCCCAGGATAAAATATGATGACCCGACCAAATCTGCTCGATCCAAAACCGAATGGAACCGCCGGGAATGTTTACAACACTGCCGAATTTTAAGAATCACTCACACAAACACTCACACCTACATGCGAACAGGAGATCCAACTCAGCAAGCCATGAAAGCAGCGACCATTGTTTACGTTTGGAACTGTCTCTCCCTTCAAAATAAACATTGCATTTAAAAAAAAAATAAACAATTGTAAACAAATAATCAAAATTTAATCCTTAAACTGAGATGACATAACAATCTATCCAAACCGGTGTTTAAACGTGAAATGTCTAACTAGAACGATTGATTGACAACTGACGAACAAAAAAAAAAAACTCGAACGGAACGATATAAATCTATTGGAAGAAGTAAACTGAAACAGCAAGTTAATAAGTTTTTCTACTCGTTTTGAACAAAATAAATTTGAAAAGTTCTATTTTTATACACAAACCAAACCAAAAAAAAAAAACACGAAGCGAGCAACCAAAGTTAATAAACGAAAGGTGTTGAATTTTTGCGTCGATTCGATCCGTTGTTTTCGGTGTGCAAATAAAAGGTACAATACATACAAAACTGCATAGGTTGATTGAATTTCCCCTCGATGACAACAGTTTAAATAAGGAACAGGAAGAAGAAAACATATGTATTTTAGGGTAAGAGTTGTTTGCATTTCGTACCTTTACTATTGTCTATACAAACACACACAGAGACACACACACACAGACACAAACACATACACAAAGATTCTAGTCTAAGTTGTTTTTGATATTTGATTCGATTGAAGAAAAAAAAAATGCAGCGCGATTAGGAAAGCGAACTAAACATATACATTAAGGCGAAGGCAATACGAATGTGGCACGGTATTTTGAATCGAAAGAAGAAAAACAAACCGGAAACGTAAACACAGATGACATCCAAACAGAAAGCCACAAATCCATAAACGACAGTGAGACACAGCCAAGCACCACACACACAAACACACATCCACACAGCTTCACCGACACAAAGAGCAACACGAATAATAGAAGAATGAAATCGAAACGTCAGAGCTAAGGAAGCAAACGTCTTTTGTTTTTGGCTGGAAGTAGTATGTAGTAGGCCGGGCAGTGGTGTGTAGAATGCTAATAATGATGAAGAAGCGAGAAATCCGGAAATAAAATGCATATTTGTAATGAACTTATTAAAAATCAAGGATGAAACACAAACGATGATATGTCTCAATTTAATTGTACAAATGCAAGAAAGCAGATTGCAGATATGCAGCAAAAGGTCATTAACAAATAAAGAGAAAAAGTGGACGAAAGCTGCGTCGTTGGTGTTTCGAACTTTCCCTGTGATCGATGACCGATAGGGATTTGCTGAAATACAAGGTTGCTTCGAGTCAGTTAGCTATAAAACATGTTTTTCGGAATTATGAAATTATGAGACGTTATGGTGATATAATTGGATGTGAGATTCAAGAAGGGGTTGACACATATACAGAAAACAATTCTGAATTTTAGTCATCGCGTAAAATCTTAACTCGTTTCATGTTGAGCTATAGTTGGCTTAAATAACGAAATTGTTTGCAAGCTTGTGTACAGCACAAGGGGTGGTCACTCTACACACTTATTTTGTGCCAACATTTTTCTCAGTGCACCTTAGTGTGCCGCAGCTGTACAGGCAGTGCCAAAAAGTCATTGAACTGACTTTTATTTGCTTGTGAATACTGCCTTGTTTGGCAACCCGGTATTTTAACAGCTCTTGTCTTTGTTTTGTTTTTAATGTTTTCAAAAACGACACGGACTCCAGTTGAGACTACACACTGGTTGCATCCGTCTCTAAGGATGCCTGCAACGGACGAGCTACGTTGCTACACGAACCTTCCATCTTCGGCAGCCCTTCTGGGAGCCGGCGGTGGAAACGGATTTGCATCGATTTTTTACCGCCCGAGTATCATCCGTCGGAAAACTGGAAACCAACACCGGCCGGACCACACGTCAGACTGACGAAGGGCCCGACCCGATGATCGGAGACGCCATCGCAGTCGAACCAGTCGAACGCAGCATCCAGCACTTGAACAACATTGAATTGGCAAAATTCAAATTGCATTTTCCAAGCAGAACTACTTGTCAGAGTCCACCAACCCGTATACTCTTCCGGACAATTCGATCATTTCCAAGGTTTACAGCACCTCCAAGAACAATCGCTTCCATTCCCGAGCAAGCTTCTCCACTTCTTCAATACCCCACCCGGTATGTCCGAGGATCTGCTTCTGACTGCATTCACCATCAAGGACTGCCACCCGTCGCAAGTGCGAATGTTCCCGCTGAAATCGGAACGTTCCTCCTTCGGATTTATCGAGTTCCCGAGTGAAGCCCTGCGGTGTACGCTGATGAAGTGCAACCACAGTGCGATCGATCACAAAGGCACAAAATTCCCGTTCATTATGAAGCTGTGCTTTTCCTCCTCCAAGTCTATGAACGGTGCGTGGAGCAACGAGAACATCGAAAACACGTAAGCTTGGAAAGAGCGGAAGCTTCTTTTTCTGAGAAAAGAAAGAAAGGATTTTCCTTTTTCTGGGTAGTTAATGATTCGTAATTATAATTTCTTATTGTGTTAGTTGGAAGTGTTAAAAGGCAGGAGAGTAAAAATAATTTGTTGAACTATTTGAGATTTTGACAAGACGGTCCTCCTACATTATATGTTGGACGATGGAATGGTTGGTGTAGCAGCCACCGCCATGGATGTATTCGAGCAGTTCGAATGGTCGAATGGTATAGTTTTTGTTGGTTGTTGACTTTCCGATTAAAACTCAAGCACCATTTGTCGTGACCGGCCCAAGATTTCCAGCGTCGGCCACGGCTACACGAATTAGCGAGGCAGCTTCCACGGCTGCGGGTGCTTCCAATGCTGCTGGTCCGTCTCCTATAAAATTCGTCAGAAAAGTCGGACCAGCAGTAGCAATTGGAAGCAGCCGCAGCCGTGGGACCTGCATCGCTAGTTCGTGTAGCCATGGCCTGAAACCTCGGTCAGGTCAAGATACCGCTATCAGCTGTTCTTCGTCTAGGAAGAAATGTGGACGCGACTGCTGTCACGGGTGTAACGATTGTGAGACTTGGTTGAGATTCACGGTTGTGTTTTGAAAATAATTTGATTATATTGCGGCAACATCAATAACAAATTTTGACACATGCAAAATTTCAGTGTTGCCAGTAACTTTAAAGATCAAAAAGAATTGTAACCATGGGTGCCAAACAGCTCCAATGACTGCACCCGGCTGTGCCCAAGTTTGATTTTGGCACACTGTGTAGAGTGGCCAACCCCTTGGTACAACATTGATGATTTATGCGATATCACGCCTAAATTACATGAAATATCGTGTAAATTAACGCCAAATCTAGCGTTAACAACGTGTGTGCTGGATCATAGGCGTAGCCAGATGGGAGCTGGCGGGGGGGGGGGGGGAGGTCAACTGTTCAATCCGTATTTTCGCTCGAGATCTTGTTTCGTTTTGTGCTGGCGCGTTGTGCCGTGGAAGTGTCACCACCTTCTCGCGTTCTGGCAGATTTCCTGAAGGACAACAACGTGGACTTCTGCACGCATGATCTGCCATCGAGCAAGCCACTGAAGGTGGTTTTGCGTTGATTACCGTCGTTCGTGGTAGCTGCGGTGAAATCCGAGCTGGAGCGGCTTGGGCTCAAACCTGAAGCCGTGTACCAGATGAACCGGCGTTCCAACCACAACACCAGCTTCCGTGACCAGTTGTTGCTGGTGCACTTCACGAAGGGATCCACCAGTCTTGCGGCTCTGAGATCCAAAATCCGAAACCTGTTTCAGGTCATCATCAGTTGGGAGCATTACAAACCCCAACATCGAGATGTTACGCAGTGTATGAACTGCCTCTCCTACGGCCATGGCACCAAAAACTGCCATATGAAGACAAACTGTGGCAAGTGTGCTGGAATTCACTTAACTGCGTTCTGTGAGCAAGATGATGACATCAAGCCAACGTGTTTCAACTGCGGTGGAAACCACCAAGCCTCCAATAGCGGATGTCCCAAGCGAGTGGAGTTCATGAATATCCGTCGGAAGGCTACAATCAACAACCAGCTCGGTCACCTCCGTAATCATCGTTCGCCTCCTGTACTCACGGAAGTCCAGTACCCAGCTCTCCAGCCCCGTCGACATGTTCCGAACCTAGCCTGCTTTCACTCAACAACCAACAAGCCAATCCTGCGAGAATACAAATGGTTCCCAACAGTCGGACAAAACAGCATCGTCTCGCTGCTGCTGCGGCCCAGCCAATTCCAGGGTCCTCCCCCACCCCTGGTTCATCATACGCTGCCGTAGAAATCATCCGTCTAAAAAGTCAGGATCTTGAGATACAGCAGTACAAACATATTAACTTCAAATGCTCACTAGCGTCACCTAGTGGGGGAATTCCGAATTTTTCTGTCCATAATCCAATAGTCCTTGACCTCCTGATCAACATTGCCGAAGAAATCATCCGTCTAAATAGTCAGGATCTTAAGATACAGCAGCGCAAACATATTCACTTCGAATGTTCACTAGTGTCACCTAGCGGAAGAATTCCGAATTGTTCTGTCCATCATCCAACAATCCTTGACCCCCTGATCAACTTTGCCGAAGAAATCATCCATCTATATAATCGGTATCTTGAGATACAGCATTCAAATCATGCAAAATAGGATATTTTAGGGCAAAACTGTGAAAAACCCCAACTTACCCTATCGTGTCCAACATGAAATCCACTCCAATCGATTTCTGAGACATTTTTTTATAAGAATGACTATTTTTTAGTCTCTTGTTCCAGCGAGCACCGAAGTTATTGAATTTTAACACATTGTTTCGATTTTGTCCCCAGTGTGCGCTGGTGCTGTCTCAGATGAGCCTGTCGACGATTCTCCGTTCACCTTGGAGGAACTTGTGACGCTCGTGGCCGAGGTCATCATCATCATGCGCACCTTCAAGACTCGATCTGAAAAAAACATCGAGTTTGTTGACTTTCTCAACGAACGGCAAATCAACATAGCCATCACCGAGACTCACTTGAAGCCCGAGCTGAACGTCTTCCTTCCCGACTTTCAGCTCGTAAGGCTTGACCGCACCAGCTCCGGAGGAGGGGGAGTGGTCATCGCTACGAGACGGAACATCAGCTGGCGGCTACTACCAAGCTTCCAGCTGAAAACTATCGAAGCCATCGGAGTTGAGGTGAGCACATCGCTTGATCCAATCACCATCATCGCGGTCTACCCAAGCAAACCAATATTAGGGACGGCTCGGCCGCAGACCTCCGAAGAGACATCATCAAGCTAACACGACGGCGGCAAAATTTCGTCATCGCTGGCGACCTGAACGCCAAGCATCAAGCCTGGGGCAATAGTGGGTGAAACCAGAACGGCACAATATTATACAACGATCTGCAGGAAGCCCACTACAACATCCTGCGTCCGAACACTCCCACCCGGTTGAGTCGATCCGGAACCTCATGCCACCATCGAAATCTTCATCAGCAACATTGGCGATAACATCTCTCAACCTATCGCCTACCAGGAACTGAGCTCGGACCACTATCCGGTGGTGGCCGAAGTAGGTTCCTCGGCCAATAGTTTTCAAGTTTCCCGTGGAATTTACCATCCTGTCAACTGGCTGCTACCAGCGCTGTGTGGACACAGCAATCGACTACGACGTCCTACCGGAGTCGTTCGAAGAAGTCGATCGGTGTCTGCAAGCCATCGAAGAGACGATATCCCGTGCCAGGGAGCAACACGTACCAGCATCCAGACAGGTGAGTCATACTCTGAACCTTGACAGCCCAACCAAAGATCTTATCAGGCTCCGTAACACCATTCGTAGGCAGTTCCAGCGTTCTGGGCTGCCCCACTTGAAGACCAATGTCAATAGGCCAAAGACCAAAATTATCCAGGCCAGAATGGTGGAACTCAGAAATAACGACTTTACCAAAAAGATTCGATCTCTCCCAGATTGTGCAAAACCATTTTGGAAGATGACCAAAATTTTGAAAAATAGATCGAGACCGATCCCTCCGCTTTCCTCTGTTGACCAGAACTTGGACCCATCCCAACTGATAACCCCAGTTGAAAAAGCCAATGCTCTTGGCCAACATTTTGTGATTTCACATAATCTTGGTCAAACCATGGTGAGCCCCCATGGGCCTGCCGTACTGGAGGCAATGACTAGAGTCGCTGACACCCCCGAAGTAGTGCATGGTGATAGTAGAATATCGGCTGATGAGGTGATAGCAGCTATTAGAAGTATGGATGATGTAGTCATCCTCGAGTTGAAAAACTTGAGTATTGACTTCTTCAACCATCTTACCATTATTTTCAACAAATATTTGGAGCTTGGCTACTTCCCTGCATGCTGGAAGTTAGCCAAAGTGATTCCAATACACAAGTCTGGCAAAGATCCTACCAGTGCCAAAAGCTATCGCCCTATCAGCCTCTTGTCCTCCATCTCGAAGCTATTGGAAAAGTTGATACTAAGCCGTCTGCTGGTGTTTTCAAATGATAATAACATCTTTCTCAAAGAGCAATTCGGGTTTAGGAAAGGCCACTCTACCATCCACCAACTCGCACGGGTTACTAACATCATCAAGCGGAACAAGTCCGTTTCCAATACATCTGCCATGGCATCGGGACGTCGAGAAGGCGTTTGGCAATGTCTGGCATGATGGCCTAGTGTACAAACTGCATCGATACAACTTTCCGATCTACCTCGTGAAGATCATCAAAAACTACTTGTCGGGCAGATCATTCCAAGTCTACTTGCACAATGTCCCCTCTGATACGTTCAACGTTGATGCAGGGGTCCCTCAGAGTAGCCAGCTTGGGCCTATTCTATGCAACATTTTCACGTCAGACGTTCCTCCCCTGCCGGGTGGTGGTATCCTGTCTATGTTCGCAGATGACACCTCCATCATCTATAAGGGTCGAGTGATTCGTGCTCTGGCGAGTAAACTACAATCAGGCCTGGATGTTTTGTCCGACTATTTTAAGAGCTGGAAGATTTGTATCAATGCAGCTAAAACACAAACCATTCTGTTTCCACACTCGTATTCACCTCGGCTTGTTCCGCCTGCTAACGTCAAGATCCATCTTGAAAGCACTCCCATTGAATGGTCGAGTGAAGTAGTCTACCTTGGTCTCATCCTCGATAGCAAATTGCTATTCCGACCCCATGTGGACAAGACATCCACCAAGTGTAACATCTTGATCAGGTCGCTCTATACCCTCTGATAAACAGGAAGTCCACCCTGTCCCTCAAAAACAAGCTTGCTGTCCACAAGCAAATCATTCTGCCAGCTATTGAGTATGGTATGCCAATCTGGGAGAGTTGTGCTAAGTGCCACCACTTAAAGCTTCAGAGGATCCAAAACAAGATCCTCAGAATGATCCTTAATAGTCCACCGCGAACTCGTAATTCTGAGATTCACCACCTGGCCGGTATTCAAACACTCGAGGAGCGAAAGACTTCCACGCTGGAAAGGTTCAGAGTCGCCTGTCTGCGATCGAACTACCAGATTTTTCGTGATTTGGCAACCTAGTTTAAGTAGTGTTACAAAAAATTCGAGATGATGCTGACAAAATGCGCCACCAATGTCTTCAAGTGTATCCCGTTTATGGTAACCAATTAACCAACTTATCATCTGTTATACATCCTCTCTCACGGCGTTATCAATTACATCGATAAGAAGAGATCGGCTCCTATCCGAACAGCCGTTTTAAATGAACAAATACCCGTATGGGACGGGTATTGTTGTGAAGACACTACTGACGTGTGGTTGGCGTCGAAATTGCTGGTGAAATAATTTCGGTGATTGCAGAAAGATCTAGTTCCCGTGAAGGAGGACCACCTACCTGATTGACAGAAGGAGGAATCAGCGTGATCTGTCTCTCAAGGTAAATTCAATGGCATGATTTAGGCAAAACAGCGGGCTAACATGCTCTTTGCAGGATAGTTGCATGCACCCTCCCTCATGATCAGACCGCCATTCCTGGAGCAATAAGAGGACGCCTTCATACATTACAATCATCATTGGACGTAGGAGCTCGTATCATCGCCATTAGTGCTCAATAAACGCATGTGCTGGTCAGGAAAGACCGTAAGCTATGTACAATACGAAAGGCCTTCTTAAGGTAAACCCAATAAGTAAATCCCTGATGATTGATCGGCTAATGCTGTGTCGCCTCATCACTTACCTTACCAATCAGGCTAAGGCCTTGTTGTCCTCTGCTGTCCGAAGAAGTCGTCTCCACTCTACTCGATCCATGGCCACAGTTCGGCAGTCTCGTAGTCTGCGAAGGGTCCGTAGGTCACCTTCTACTTGGTCGATCCACCTTGCCCGCTGCGCGACTCTTCTTCTTGTTCCTGTTGGGTCGCTTTCTAGAACCATTTTCACTGGGTCGTCGTGCGGCATTCTTACGACGTGCCCAGCCCACCGTAGGCGCCCAATTTTTGCAATGGGGACGATGGATGATTCTCCTTTTATTTACAGCTTTGGCCTATACGATATCCGCCAAGTCTACGCCAAGCCCACTGAAGTACAAGCAGCATTACTGTCGTCCTTTCCACAATCACCTTGCATTAGTAGTGGCGATTCTCTGTCGTCGTGGAAGACTGTAGGAAACCAGAATAGCGGTATCGAGACGACAGGAGAGCGGTTAAACCGCATCGCATGGAGGAACTCGCAATACGTGGTCGTGGGTAGTGCATTGCTACTGCCGGCGTTGGCAACCGATTAGCTGTTGGAGAGCATTCGCGACATTCGCGACATTCAGTGAGAGTATCACGCGACAATTGGTGATACACGACAACGTGCAGCAGCGCAAGCAACGCAACGACATTGAATGTTGCGCAACAGTCAACAGTGCGACGAGTGACATCGGTGGCAGAAGTGCAGTTGCATCATCATCACGGGGCCCCCACCGATAGAGCAAAGTAGATATGCTTTTGTGAGAGGAGAAAATTGTTTGTATGGTTAAAGAATAGATATAAGCTTACTGTGCAATCCGTTTACTATTATTTAGCAGCACACCCCACCTTCCTCTATCTTTTGTCATTGAGTTATGTTTGATGAATGAAGATTGTTGCACTCAAATTCACGTTCTTCTTTTGTGGTACCGATGCGCTATGGAATTGACCCTATTTGCGTTTAGTATTATCGATAGCTTAATTATCCAAGTCACAAGGAAATTGTCACATTGGTGCCCAACCAAAAAACCCACATTCGCGTGTAGTAATTCGCGTTTAGTCAAGTGAGTGTAAAACGAGTGTGTAGTAGCAGAACCATCATGGACCTGGATTTCGAACTGACCGTGAGAACGGTGCAAGGCTTGAGGGGAAAGAATCGCAACTGGAAAATCACACGTCTACTTCAACTTATGACCAAAGAGAACGATGGAGGAGCAGCCACACCAACATCGTCTACAAATGTGCTTTCGGACGTGGATAGTGTATACCAGTGCCAAGCGAAATTGCCACCAATCAGTCAGGCCTTGGAATCAGCTTTTCGGAAGAATGACGCAGATCAAATAAGGATATGCAGATCCAGGCTGTTGCACTACAAATTTAGGCTATCCGTCATATCGGATCTGATGATCACAGTAAATGCCAACAAATTGCTGGCCAAGATCAAGAAAACTCTGGAAAAATTTGAAGAATTCCTAGTAAACCTGTCATGTGTAAGTCCAGAAGGAGAAGAAGAAGTAGACGACCCCGATCCAGAAGAAATACCTGGGGATCCAGACATTCAGCAAAGGCTCAAGATTGCGCAGCAGCAATCAAGTATAAAAGAAGCTTCCAAACAGCAACAACAGTTAGAATAGGAACTCCAGCAGCACATACTTCAGCAACAATCACAGAAACTGAAATATCAACCAGTCCATGCCACAGTAGTTAGGTAGGTTCCTGTGCTCAAGTAGGTAGGTTTTTTTTTCCTTTGGTTTGTTTTTTTCCGTCGATCTTGTTTTCCGTGCTGAGCACCAATGCTATCGACGTGCCAGGAAGGCAGCTCCCACACCTGGACCCTACCTATCGACCCATCAACTCATGATCCGGGGACCAACGGCTTTACTTCCCATCCGAAGGAAGGCGTGATCAGAGATGTTATGCCTCAGAACATCCCGGCGGCGCCGACTGGGATTGAAGTAGGTAGGTTATCAAATTAAATTCAAACCAAAACAATCCCATTAAGGGTATCCTGTAAATTAGCACGAAACGCAATCATCACATTAGAATAACCAGAACAAAGATAAAGAGCCAAAGGCTAACCAATTGAATTTGTTAAACTAAATGATGAAACATAAAAAAAAAACCAGAAAATAAACGTAAATTTTACTATTACTTCCTCCGCTCATGAAAGCTTCGGGCGACGTGGCAAGCAGAAGCAGGAGCAAATCAAGAAAAGGTGGAATTTTTCCATCTACCTCTGCTGAACAATAGGGCAGTCAGGCTAGAGCAATGCTGTTGTGAATACGCTCATTTTAGCATCGGACGGACGGTGTGGTGAAATAGCAGCAGTCAGCGTGATCACCTTGATGACAACCAATGATGGGGTGGAGAGGATGTGGAGTTTGTGGAGATCGAACAATTGGTCCTTTTCAGGACCACACATATTTTACAGAAAGAGTTAGTCCGACTGTTTTCGGTCCCGTTCAAATAATATGAAAAGCGTCAAATGTTATTTTGTATATAACAAACCCCCCATCCTCCTATAACGACAACATAAAAAGAATTGACGTTAATTTTTTCACCCGCCAAAAGAGC